AGTTATATCTATAAACGTTATACATGTACTGTATGGTATTATATATGTGCATGCATATATATATGTGCATCTATATATGTACTAGCCTTTTGTTACTGACCAAGAAAAAAAGAGGAGGGGCTGGAGGAATAGTACAGCAGGAAGGATATTTGCCTTCCATGTGGCCAACCCAGGGTCGATCCTCTATGGTTTCCTGAGCACTGCCAGGAGTAATTCCTGAATGTAAAGCCAGAAGTAACCCCTGAGCATCACTTGGTGTGGCCCCCAAACAAAAATAAAATGAGGAGCTATATTTCTAAAATTGGTACTGAAAGAAGATACATTACTACCAATTTTACAGAAAAAGGGTCATAATGGATGTATCAGGATGAATACCCTACGTCAGTGCTCTTCCAACTACAAGGACCCATGCCGGGATGAAGGTGTGGAAAGACTAAAAACCACCACTCAATCACGGGCCTGGCTGGAGGTGGAAAAGGCTGAAGTGGTAGCTCAAGGGTAGGACTCTTGCCTTGTACACTGTCAATCCAGGGGAAGGGAGGGAAGAAAGGAATAAAGGAAAGGAAGCAATAAAGGGAGGGAAGGAAGGAGGAAAAAAGGGAGGGAAGGAAGAAGGAAGAGGGAAGGAAGAAATAAAGGAAAGAGGGAATGAAGGAGGGAGAGAGAAAGGAAGGAGGGCAGGAGGGAGGAAGTAGGGAGAAGGGGAGAGGAAGGGGGAGGGAAGAAGGGATCCCACAAAACTAGAACTAAGTTGCTTCCAAGGCCACCAAATGTTGAATAATAGACGACTTTCATAAACTCAAAAAATATGAGGGAGAGGTTGGAGAGATAGGAGGTTGGAGAGTGCAGCAGGTAGGGTGTTTGTCTTGCACAAGCCCAACCCAGGTTTGACCTCTCTGGCACCCCATATGGTTCCCAAGCACTACCGGGCGTAACCCCTGAGTTAAGTGAGGCCCAACTCCCCCACCAAAAAAAAAAAAGAGCGAAACCTCTGATTCAACCTATGAGGACAGTAATACTCTGATATGAAAGTCAAAGTTATCATTAAGAAAAAACTGAATACCAGTATCTCTTATTGAATAACTGTAAAAATCCTTCACAAGATGCTACAAACCAGATCAACAGAGTAGCAAACCCAGTCCGCTGGAGCGGGCCAGCAGCATGACTGAAATGGGATCCAGCCTAGAGAGCAGCGATGGAACAACAGCTCCCGGCATACACCTTACCACCACAAGGTGAAAATCATACAAGCACTTGACTAGAGAAAAGGCGTCTGACCAATTCCACATCCCTCTGTGATAAACACTCAATAAACGCAGAGTACAAAGGAGCTTCTCTAACCGAATTAAAGGCAACTACAAAAATCCCACATGCAGCTCCTAGTCAGCAGAACACAGGCTCTCAGGGTCAGAACAAGGCAAGAACACCGACCTGAACCACTTTCCTTGGACAGTGTCCTGGAGGGTCACGTCAGGGCAATGGGGCAAAGAAGCAAAAGGTCAAACCGTCACTGTAAAAATGGCACTACCTGCATGTTACCACCAAGTAGATAACACAACTGCATACAAAAAAATGAAGGAACACACAAAGTCATACATACAACATAATGAAGTCAGTTTATTTCTATACATTAGTGATCAATAAGTTAGGAAAGTTCAGAGAACAAATACATAATAGCATAAAAAATAACATACTTAGGAATAAAAATATTTTGGTTGTTTTGGAGCCACACTGAGTAGTGCTCAGGACATATTCTTGGCTTGGCACTCAGGGATCACTCCTGGTGAGTTCAGGGGGACCCTATGAGGAGCTGGGGATTGACCCCGGGTCATCCACATGTAAGGCCAGTGCCTTACTTGCTGTACTATCTCTCTGGCCCCAGAAATAAAATTTTTTAAGTGGAAGATTTGAGGGAATCCTGCTTAAGGAGACCCCAATACTACAGAAGCTCTCCCGTCCCCCTCTCAAAATTACCTTCTGAATTTGACGGGAGAAAAGTATAAGACTTGTACATGAGAATGACAAATTACTATTGAAATCAATGGAAAAAGACCCAAACAAATCGAATTCAAACCAGAAAATTTTAAAGATGGCTATAATTTAAAAAGCTTTTTTGACCACACCTGTTGGTGCTCATGGCTTACTCCTGATTCTGAACTCAGGAATCACTCTTGGTGGGACTTGGGGATCTATATGTGATGCTAGAGATTGATCCAAGGTCAGCTGTGTGCAAAGCAAACACCCTACCTACTGTACTACAGTTCCAGATGTCCCTCCCCCTTTTTTTTAGGTTCCTACAATCAGACCCATGGCCTCATACATGCAAGGCAAAAAGATCTATCCGTTAAGCTATATCCCCAGCTACATAGTAATACTTTGTTTGGATTTCTTTAGCAATAACTAGATTCAGTGTAATTCTTCCTAAAATCTCTGCTGCAATATTGAAAAAAAAAAACCTGACAGTTCAGTAGGCAGGGTGCTTGCTTTGCATATGGGCAACCCAGGTTTGATCCCTAACATCCCATATGGTCCCCTGAGCACCATCAATAATCATACCTAACCACATGGAGTTTCACTAATAAAAAATTAAAGAAAAAAAAAAGAATTATCCCCACCAAAAAAAAAAAAATTATCCCTGAGTGCAGAACCAAGAGTAAGCCTGAGCAATGATATCTGTGGCACAAAAACAATCAATCCAAACTGACAAAAGGATACTAAAATTCATGTGAAAACGGAAGGAACTGGAAATAGTCAAAAGCAATCTTGAAAAAAAAAACACCCAAGTTGGAAGGCTCACACTCTTCCATTTCATACCTTACCACAAAGAAACATCCCAAACACTGTGTTAGGATAGGCATAAGGTTAGACAAGCCAATGGGACAGATGAGAGCCAGGGAAGAAGTTCAGATCCATGGCCAACTGAGGGTCAGTAAAGTTGCCAAGCTAGTCCAACGAGGGAAAGAGCCGTCCTTTTGACAGGTGGTGCTGAGACAGCTAGAGAAGGACTCGCCAAAGAGTGGTGAGTCTCACACCACATACAAAGAATGAACTGAAGAGGATCAGAGACCGAGATTTAGCGCAGAGAATCTCAAGTCTAAAGAAACGTAAGTGTGGGCCAGAGCGATAGCACAGCGGGTAGGGCACGCGGTGACCTGGGTTTGATCCCTGGCATCCCATATGGTCTCCCAAGCACCGCCAGGAGTAATTCCTGAGTGCAGAGCTAGGAGTAACCCCTGAGCATCACTGGGTATGATGCAAAAGAAAAAAAAAAAAGAAACGTTAAGTGCATGCCCTCATAACCTTGCCTGGGGTAATGATTACTTGGATATGAAACCACAACACAATGAGGGAAAAAAACAGGCTTCATTAGAATTAATGCTTCTATGCTTTAAAGGACAGCATCAAGAAAATGAAAAGGCAGTACAGCAGGGAGAGCATTTGCCTTGCATGTGGCCAACCTGGGTTCAATCTGGGCCTCCCATATGGTATCCCTCACTGCCAGGAGTAATTCCTGAGTACAGAGCCAGGAGTAGCCCCTGAGCATTGCTGGATGTGATGCAAAAATAGCTCCCTCTCTGAAAAGAAGAGAAAAGAAAAGAAAAGAAAGAGGGGCCGGTGCGATAGCACAGCGGGGAGGACGTTTGCCTTGCACGCGGCCGACCTGGGTTCAATCCCCAGCATCCCATATGGTCCCCCAAGCACTGCCAGGAGTGATTCCTGAGTGCAGAGCCAGGAGTAAACCCTGAGCATTGCTGGGTGTGACCCAAAAAGAAAAAAAAGAGAAAAAGAAAAGGCATAATGCAAAAAATACCATCATGTGAGGGTCTAGAGTTCAGAATAGGTGAAGAACATATACAATATAAAAAAATAAGAGAACCAATTAAAACTAAACAAATCATCTGAGCAGGTTTGTCTCAAAAAAAGGCATACAAATGACCAACAAATACATGAGAAGATGGAAACACGCATCAAACAAGGAACAGCAGAGCATTCATTCCCACAGTATACCCAAACCACAGAGAGCCTAAAGTCAGCAAGAATGGGAGATGCCGGAACCACTGTACCCTCAGACCCTCTTGTGGCAGGGCCAAGAAGTGCAGCTTCAGGCAGAGAATAGTACCACAAGTACCGTGCTTGCCTTGCACACAGCCAACCTGGGTTCGATCCCCCAAATCCCATATGGTCCCTGAGCACCACCAGGAGTGATTCCTGAGTGCAGGCAGGAGCAACTCCTGAGCACTGCTGGATGTGGCCCCAAGAACAAAAGAAATGTGGCTCTCTGGCAGTCTATCAAGGAGTTAAGAATAGAACTAGCAGAGCTAATTCCACATCTAGGAATAGACTGAAAACTAAAACATGATCATATAGAAACAAGGGACAAGGGACACTCAACTAGGAGTGTACAAAGGAACACCTGTGTGAGGAGCCGGTACCACTCAGTGGCAAAACATGGTGTGTGGTGTCGTAGAAAAACCACTGGGCAGTGACACCGGAGGCCTGGACACCCCCACCCCACTCCGCACACAGAATCTTGAACATAATGTAGAGGGCACACATGCCAACTGCCTTCCTGGGCCCATACCGGGGGCCAGGGAAAGGGCCAGCTAAAGGAAAGAAGGGCTAGGAATCGAGTTCATATGGAACAGAATGCACATGAGGCTGCTGAGCAGACTTTAAGAACAAGTGCTCACACTCAGGTGTGCAGGTGCTCAAAGGCAGTGGTCTGGTCTGTGCTCAGATGTGGAGCCCCCGCAACGCACACACGTGCGCGCAGACACACACAATTGCACACATGTGGGCGTATACACACACACACACACACACACAACCACACTCCATGCACGCTAAAAAACAGGTGCAGAAGCGGGTTGGCCACCCTTTTGTGTCTGTGTTCAAGCAGGTTTTCCTGTTTCTGTGGGGATCTGCCCTGGGCACTGGGCGAGAGGCTGAGTGCACCTGGGACTGCACTGAGCAGCCCCATGCCTGCAGGCCGAAGTATACAGCTGTGCGGGGTGGGGTCTGCGGGCCCCTCTGAGAGCCCAGGCTGTGTGAGCAGGCACCCGCCCTCTACTTCAGTGCGTAGTTAAACTGGTTGGCAAACTTCTCGTGCTTCTTCTGGTCCATCTGGTTCATGGCCGCCACCACCCTCTGCATGGCTTTCCTGGAGGGAGAATTGCAGATCAGCTCAGGGCCCATCAGGCCGCATCAGATCCCCAGGATGTGATGAGGCAGGGACGGGGGCCACCCACCCAGAGCCAGGGGCCCAGCAGGTGGCTCCCCATGAAGGTGGCTGGGCCCCACACAATGCCCCAAACCCAAGAGGCAGCCCCCAGACTTTGCCCATGTGAGTACATGTAAGCAGCACTGCCCAGCATTGGGACAGTGGTAACAGCAGTGTCCGGGCTGGAGGGAGTGACTGTGAACCTGGCCATGGGGCACCACCCTGCCCGACTTCTGGAAGTGTCTGAGGAAGCCACAGTGACGATACAGGTGCCTCTCCCAGGTGGGTCCCACAGCGCTGGCTCCACTTCTGGGCTCCAGATGACACGTCAGATCAGCAGCGGGAAGCTGCCCATTGCCCACTTCCAGAGGACAAGGGAGCCTACCCACCAGCCCCAGGAAAACAGGGTGGGCCCCTGGGTGAGCCACTCTGCATCATACTATGGGTGCTGGTTGCCACACTCCCCCTGGCCACCCACTTCAGTTGCCCAGTGGCCAGTGACTGCTGGCTCCTGACTCCTGCCAGCTGCAACCCCTACCTACCGTGGCCTGGCCCCAGAATCCGTGTGGGGCTCCCTCAGCATCCCCAACTGTGGCTCTTACTTGGCAAACACCTTCTTGGCGATGCGTGTACGGGGGGTGTTGGTCTGCTGCCTGAGGTCTGTCAGGCCAGGATGCTTCCTCTTCTTGCCCTTGCCCTTGCCCTTGCCGCACAGCGACGAGCCAAGGTCCACCCCTGTTGCTGCCTCCACATCGCGCAGGAACGCAGGGTCCTTCCAGTCTGTAGACAGACCAGAACTCAGCTCTGAGCCTGACCCAACCAGCCCCCAGCCAGGAGGGACACCCAGGGCCACTCAGCGGGCAGCACAGCACTCTCAGCCCCTCAGCAGGAAGACAGCCAGGGTGCCAAGTGCAGGAACACATCCTCTGAGTATCCTCAGGGCTGGGGTGCTGCTGGGCTGAGGAAGGAGGACACACTGAGGGCCCAGCCGCAGGTCAGCTGCAGGATGGGTTCCCAGCCTGGGGCATAAATAGTGGGATCAGTCAGGGACAACTCCAGCCACTGACTCTGCCTCTGCTCCCGAGCCCTGGCGGCCAGTCAGTCAGCTTCTGAAAGGCCCCTGTCTGGGGTCAGAAAGCGGCTGGGGAAGGGCGCAGGACCCAATGTATCCAGCCCATGGACAGGTCCCCAAGTGGATTTTCTGGAGTGAAGGGCGACAGGACTGCACAGTTCAGATACAGGACGATTAATCCAAGATTAAGGAAAACTGTCTAAACAGTTTATCTCCCAGTAATAAGAAGGCGTCACAGTTTAGGAACTCAGTGAATGGAGCGATTGTTTAAACACAACGGAAAAATGCGGCGCCCAGGAGAGATGGACCGAGCATCTCAGGAAAATGAAGGAGCAATTTAAAAGCTCTGAAGAAAATCAATAGCTGCCGGGCGGGCAGCCTTCCTGCGCTGACGGGGCTGGAGCTCCAGCATTGTCCCCGAGGTGAGTGGCGGCGAAAAGAAAATTGCCCGCAAGCGGAGGCGGGATCAATACGTCGTTAGTAAGGCCACGATTTCACATCTGACTGGCCAGCCGGCCGTGCTGGCTACCTGTGTGTTAACAAATCACCGAGGCCACCACCAGACTCTGTGGCGTGCACAGGGGCCCTGAATGTGCTCCTGCGGGGCGGCCTCCAGGAAAGGGCTCGCCTTGAGGATTAGCAGCTCAAACCGCACCCGCCACACATACAACCAGCTGTGGTCAGGCTGTGTATGTCAGATGAACTCTCGACGTGGTTCTGTGACAAAGGGAAGTCCTTGCTTGGGGCCTCACGGCCAGGCTGCCCCAGGCACAGCTGCCATCCTGCTGGACTTCTGGCCGCTCCCTACTTCCAGTCCAGGCAACAGACACAGAGGGCCAAGGTCACTGGCCTGTGGGGCCGGGCACAGGTTGCCTCATAGCATGGACCCCGCCACAGGACAGGCTACCTGTGCTGGCGACACTAAAGGAGTCAGAGTCTGAGGCCAGGGAATCATGCCATGGACCCCAAAAGAGCTCTCTGCAGACACTGCACTAACTCCTCCAACCCACAACACAACCCAGACCACGGGTGGGTCCTGACCTTCCTAGCAGGAACACATGTGCACACACTAAACACCATGTGCACATACCTCCATACACACATATACACCCCTACATGCATGTGCATACACCTCTAAACCATGTGCACAGAGCTCCGCAGATGTGCACTCAACACACCACATGCATGCAAAAAAACATAACAAGTGCACATGTATGTGCACATACATGCATATCCTCCATGCAGATGTATGCACAACACATCACATGAACATGTGTGTGCAAATACATACACATGCACACACCCAAAGATGCGTATGGATAATGTATCATGTGCAGATCTCCCACATGCATATATCCCACACATGTATCCCACACACTAAATCCACACATGCAAGTGTATACATAACACACCATGTGCTCATATGTACGCATGCACATCCATATGCCATGTGCAAACATCTGCACACAACAGTTTGCACACATGATACCACATACACATGCGTCATGCAAACATAGCTTGTGCCGACACATGTACCAGACCATATGTGCACAGGCATGTGTACTCTGTACACACGCACAACACACATTGCTCATTACATGTGTGCAAGCAGAGCACACATGCAGACCTGCTCCTGCCCCCAGCTGTACGTACCTGGCCGCTCTGCCTGTTTCTGCAGCTGTTGCTGCTGTTCCCGTACTCGGTCTTCCTCACGGAGGGGCTGGCCAGTGTCGTCTCTCGGGATAATCTTCCCATGAAAAGGGCACTGCAAAAACGGTCACCTCAGGTCGCTACCCCCGAAGGAGCTGGCCACACTTTCCTCCTGACACCAGGTGGCCAGCGAAGTCAACTCGGCTCATCCTCCCAAGTGTTCTCGCTCTGGAGGGAGGCCCTGCCCACCCTGTGGCCAGGGGCTCCTCTCAGCTGCAGACAAGTCTGCTAGGGAGCTGGAGAGGATCAGCCTGATACCCCTCACCTTCAGCCGGTCCTGGCGTTCACACAGCCTGCCGTCAGGTCGTGGGGCACGGCACCGGTGCTGTACAGGCTCGAATGTTCCTGCAAATGTGATGCGCCGTGTACGCAGTGTCTCGGCCACAGTGGCACTATCCACCTCTGGCTCCACCTCGCTCGGCTTCCAGAAGCGGTGCTCCGAGTCGGCTCTGTGGCACCGATCAGGGTCTCAGCACTGCGCACAGAATGCCCTGCCACCGAGGCTGGGCCTTGAGGAACCTGTGTCAGCAGTGACCAGCCAAGACCAGCCAGGCAGGGATTCTGAATACAGCAGAGCACTACCTGGGCCTCTCAAGGCAGGTGCGGGGTGGCAGGAGCCTGCCAGGTACACGGGCTTGACTGTCCCCGGACAACAGAGTCCAGCCTTCGCACCCCCATCTGGCTGTACAGCAGCAACCAGAACAGGTGGGCAGAGCTGGCGCGCCCCACCCGGCAGCCACAGGCACCACACTTTCTTACCTGAGAATCTTGCCAACTGGTGGCTGCTCCTGTTCCCAGTAGCACAGGTCTACGCCGAAGGGCACCACAGGCGCCCGAGCCCGCTCTGCCAGTCTCCCAGTCTCCTCTGGCTTTGGTGATGCTGGTGGTGTGCTGAGGGCCCTGTAGGGTTCCCTGAGCACTCAGTCCTGGCCACAGGAGGCCAGCCCTCCAAGGACCCCGATGCCCCACAGCCTTGCCCCAGGCCTTGAAGAGTAGCCACAGTTGTCACTGTGGCGGCAGATAAGGAAACCCGCCTGGCGAAGGGCAGGGAGCAGCAGAGGCAGGGTGAGTCACCTGGGGGTAGAGGGTGGGTGGCGGGGGCGATGATGCAGCTGGGCAGCAGCCGTGGTGGGGTCACATGCCTCCTCCTCCTCCCTGCTTGTCCTTGTTCTTGCTGCTGAGCCCTGCGCCGCAGGCTTCTCCTCCAGCCCTGGAACGGAGTGTGGCTGTTCTGGCTGGTCCTGGAGGCAACACGCCCCATACATGCCACAGGACGGAGTCTGCAGGGCCCAGTGGTCACCACGCTATGGCCCTGCTTGCTCAATGCCAGGACAGGGCAAGGAAGGCACTCAGACATTTCCATGAATCCCAACTGCTGTCCCAGGAAGGGGAGGGGACACAAGGCCACCACAGCTTCTACAGAGTGGAGGCACAGGGGCAGGGAGGTGGCTGGTGGGCCCCACAGGAGCTAAGATGGCTGGAAAAGAAGCCAGGCTGCAGAAGCAAGAAAGTGTGGGGTTAGGGAGGGACAGCGTGGGGCCGGGGAGAGGGATAGGAGAGGTACAGCCGTGGACAAGGCTGGGCTGGGAGTGGGGTTCAGGAGCAGGGATGTCACCTTAGGAGGCAGCACCAGCCAGACAAGGAAACGGGGGAATCAGGGCCATGACACTGTGAGGAAGTACCATGCCGACAAGACGGACAGGAAAGTGAGGCCCAGGCTGACAGCAACCAGCTCACACAAGGTCCAGAGAGGATGCCCTGATGGTCTGTGTGAGTCCCCTTGCTGGTTAGAGGTGCTTGGAGCAGGCTCACTCCACAGCAAGAAAAAGAACTTGCAGAGGGTAGAGAGCAAGAGACCGTGAAATGAGCTAATGGGAGTCCGTCCCCATGGGAAGTTGTGCAGAGGGGAAAGTGGGTGGCACAGGAGGCCACAGTGCTGCTGTGAGGGTGAGAGGCCTGAGAGAGAGGGGAAACCACCTGAGAATGAAGTCTTGACATTCTCAGAGTTCAAGGCTTGTTGTGAAGCAGCAAGAAATTGCCCATGGAGCCAATGAAAGGCGGAAAGTGCCAGGCAGAGCAATAGTGTGAAGTGAGCTGAGGGCATGACCGAATGAGAGAGCAGCACAGGAACCAATGGGGGACCAATGGGGGACACTCTGGCTGCGTTGCTGAAACCCACTTCAGGGGTTACAAGGTTAAAGAGAAGGGACGGAAGACGACATAGCACTAACAGGGTGCCAAGCTGAAGCAGAGGTGCCAGTGAATAGGAGGAAAACGGAACATTCACTGAAGGAACAAAGGCACGTGAGGCAGTGTCAGAGGAGGAGGGTCGACCAGTACACAGCTGGGGGTAGTGGATGCCTTCCAGACAAGGTAAAGAGGTGGCATAGCAGGGATGTCTTGACTGAGAAGAGTGTCGGAGACTCAGCTCTGCTGCTTTGGCTATCCCACAGGCCATGGACCCAGAGGTAGTCACTGATATGTACATGCATACATGGGGCATCACACACACACATGTGTGGTGTTGTACACACAGCACATGTGGTTAGTGCTGCACATGCACACAAGCAGTGCTGCGTCTACAGTGTTGCACACGCAGCATGTTAGTGCACATGCACACATGCGGTATTATGTATGTGGACATGGGTAGTGCTGTGTGTAGACCTGTTGCACTGTACACATGAAGTTACACATAGAGATACCTTCACACACTCACTGAACATTGCCCAGTATGTGCCCAGCTGACACCCCTGTCCAGCCCTCAGCACAGACTCAAGAGGAACACAGACTGGAAAAAGGAACGAGGTCCCCAGCCCTGAGAGCTGGTCCAGGGGAACTGACTCTCTGAGGGTCAGGACCTGGGTAGGACTGAACACAGGAACAGCCTCTCAGGCCTCTGGGGCAGTGCCCACCCCCGCAGTCTGCCACCCGAGGACCCGGCCCACAGGCGGCTGTGCCACAACTGGCCCTGCACCTGTTTCTGTGCACAGAGTCACACTCTGGGGTCAGCGAGGGCCCCCTCAACACCAAGGGGGTGCAGACGCACACCATGAACAGATGAACCCATACACATACACATGCATGTGGTGTGCAGCTGACCCCATACATATGTAGACAGACCTGTGCACACATGCTGTGTAGATGACCCAAGCACACATACACTTATACAGGTATGGTCAGACCCACAAGTACGTACTATGTGCAGGAAAACCCTCCATGCACTCACATACGCACGGTGTGTAGCTGATCCCTCACATACATGTGTGGTCAGACCTGCACGCACGCACATCTGTAGTCGATCCCACATGCAGCATCAGCCCCACAGGTGTGGAGCAATGCTGAGAAGTGGGCATGGTGGGATCCTGGCTGACAGATCAATAGGGGAATTCCTAAGAGTTACAAAAATAAAAATACTTCTCATTGATCTGTTGTTTTGAACCATTGAAGAGATGGCTACGTGTGTCAAGACAGGTAACACCTGGGGCTCTGGATACAACAGCACCTTCACACGACTGTAGAAAATCAATCCTGCTGATGTTGCTCAGCCGGGAGGCAGGTGTCTTCAGGAAGAATGAGGCTACTGAGGAAGCCAGGGCTCAGAGCTGGGCACCTGCCTGGCACCAGCCCCGACTCAAGCACAGACTGCTTGCAGCTTGCTGAGAAAGATGGGCAGAGTGGCTCCCCTTTCTGCGGAGGGAGCCCCAGTGCACTGTGCTCAGCCAGGCTGAGATCAATGGCAGGAAGCCCAGGCAGCAAGTTAGGCTGCCAGGCTGACACTATTGATTTTCCCTCGTTCAGCTGGCTTTGTAATTAAAATGTAAATTTGAGAAAGAGATTATGTCCTGACAGAAGTGGTAGGATTAAGGGGAAGATAAAAGCCCCTCTGAAAATTCAGAGAAACAGGAAGGAAGAGCCATTTCCTGGTCAAGCAGAACTGGTGGGTCCCCCACGGGCACTGAGAAAGGCAAGGGGGGAACAGGTGACTGGCTGGCTTCCAGCCTCACACCCTTGGGGCTGCACCCAACACTATCCAGCACACCCTCCATGACGGTGCCCTGTGTTCTCTCCAGGACCCCAGGTGTGGCAGGGGGCCAACGAGAGGAGTGGTCTGCTCCCAGAACACGCCCCTCCCCCCCACCCACCTGCACAGTACACAAGGCTGGAGGCCTCACAGAGCTGGGCAGACTGTTCTAGAGGAGACCGTGAGGTGCCCTGTCTGCTCCATTCTAGGCAGGCCTGCAGACCCAGCCTCAGAGGCAGGCCAGCCTGTGAGGCAGAGGAGCAGGGGACCGCACCTGCCCTGAAAATCCTCCATCAGCATCCAGGTCAGGACACTCGGTTCTCCTGGGAAGCCAATGTCCAGCCAGCAGTAGTGTGGCTGGGCACCGTGCAGAGGGAAAGGGCCATCCTTTCCCTCCAGTCACCACTGCCCTGTCCCTCTGGGTCCTGTGTGGCCTCCTGAATGACCTAGACCCTAATGACCCTAGAGGGCAGGCAAGACGGAGGGCACAAAGGGCCCCATGGAGTGACAAGCATGTGCAGGGAGGTTGAAGGCTTCTGCAGGTAGAGCGGGGTGTGGCCAGGACGGTGCAGTGGCCGGGGGGGGGGGGGGGGGGGGCAGCCCCACTGTCCCTGCCTGACAGCGGCCCCAGGAGCGAGACACAGGCAGTCTCCCAATGCCTCTCGGACACCGCTGCTCGAGGACCTGAGCCTTCCTCTGGTCCTCGAGCACTCTCTCACCTGCGTCCACACCTCTACGCTTGCTGCTCTCCCACACGGACCCGCACTTCTCTGCAGATGTGCCCCTGTCTCACCGCAAGGAGCAAGAGCCACACAGGGCTCTGGGGGGTGGGGGGGCATAGAACGGCTGCCTTGTTCAGTGGGGCAGAGGGCTATGAAGGAGCCCCGGTAGCCCCCACTTGGTGTAGGTGGCTCTGCGCCCCCGCGGTGCAAGGGGTCAGGGTCCCCAGAGCCTCAGCCCTTTCGCTCCTTCCGCGTGGTCACCCCCGCAGGGCTGTCCCTGCCACTCACCATACTCTGCCCACAGGTGGTGAGGGATGTGGGCCTCGTACCCTTCCTTCTCCAGGACCTCTACAAAGTCTTCGTCATCATCGTCCTCATCCGTGTCCCCTGTGGTGGCCATCTGTGGAAACATCCCATGTTCCAAGTTACCCAGACCTGGGAGGACAGCCCCTGCCTCCTGTCCTCATATTCCATCCCAGCTCTGCCTGGGCCACAGGAATGAAAAAGGGGCCTCTGGGCCTCCCAGCAACACACCGTGTCCCGGGGTGTCAAGGCCTGAAAACAGGGCTCATCCACCTGGGGTGAGGTTTCACTACCAGACTCCTCTGACCGAATGACCATCCCATCTCCCTGGACAGCAGTACGGAGTCCCCCCGGAGCCCACTCTCCATGGTGGGTGTTGCCCCTCCACGCCCACCACAGCAGCGTGGATTCCAGCAGGCAGAAATGGGAGCCTAGAAGCGGCCCAAGCAGCTGGCTCAGAGTCAGGAGCCCATGTCCCCTGACCAGGTGCACGGAGACCATGCGCCAGGGCTCTCCTGCCACACCTTGGCCTACCTGAGCCCAGCACCCACACTCTCTCCCCGGGGCCCCACAGAGGCATAATCAGATGCAAATGCACTTTGTTTGGGCCCTGGCTCACTGTGCATCTGGGAAGCAGGGGGCATTAATCATGGGAAACAGTAATTTTTGTTATCAGTGCTAACACTGATCAAAAGGGAAGTCTGCCTCCACCGCTGACCTGTGAAACGTCCCAATTATGCTCTTCGGAAATGACAGGGGCACTTAACTCCCGAGCTGCGCAAATGACGACCATCAATCACGTTTGAATAACAATGAGCCACGGACCTGAAAATTATTTTTGTGTAGAATCTCCCCAGGAATTTATGAAAGGTGGAAAGCACCCAAGGTTTCGGGCAGCGCGGGCCTCGCTGGCGCCGTGCGTATCCAACACTAAAGAGAATTTATGTGTTTTAATTTCCTGAAAGGTGGAAGGGGATTGGGTGCTACAATGCAGAACACGCAGTGCCAGCTTTAAATATGGGGTCATTTTCACAAAATACTGCACTTCCTGTGCACCCCAACTTCACACAAGACTGTGCAGAAACCATCCCTGGCCACAGAGCACCAGGTCACTTGGGCCCCCCGCCCCCCAAGACTCACTCCCACAGCTCCCCAGTCCCAGTCCTGCCTGGTACTTTGGTTGCTGCCTCAGGGTAGAGGTCATGCAGTTGCAGCCTCTGAGGACACACCCAAAACGCCAAAAGTCCAACACATTTTCTCTGGGAGTGCCTACAGTGGCCCTAGCAAACTTTGATCAGGAGTAACCCCCGGACCTGTCCTCGGCAAAAGCCCCCCTTGAATTCTCACAGAGGCAGCCACCTTCCCTGAGGTCAAACGTGGGCAGCACAACCAGAGTGCAAGCAGGGTTAGGTGAAAAGGGGGCGGGGGGGGGGGCGGGGTTGTTCAGGTCCTGTGGAGGCTCTGCAGGTGGGATCAAGAGCAGAATCCCCATTGGCAACCCCAGACAGCTCGACAGATGTCCAGTCTGGATGGCGGGTCCTGCCCACCCCCAGGGATGCAGGGTAGGCAGTGGCCAGAGTCCTGGGCCAATTGGATACCTCCTCCAAATAGAAGCTTCCAGAGGCCAGCCTCACAGAGACACACAGGCCTCAGGAGGGGGACAGGGAGACTTGAGCCTTCTGCTGATTTCCTACAAATCGATTCTCACCCAGTTAAAAGGATTTAGAAAAATGAGCCTCGGCCATCATAATTAAACAAGCAATAAAACAGCTAAAATATACACCCCCATCGTTTACAGAAGTCGGGAGCGAGTTACTAATTATTTGAGGATGAGAGAGCGACCTCGCTTAGTGCGCGGGCCAAAGGCACCACCGAGATACAGCTGGAACCGTTAAATAAATTTTGTACCATCTAATTAACTTGGTGCAAAATCTCAATTACTTTTCACCCAAGAAATCACTTTTGTTCAGTTTTATGTGTGTGTTTCCCTTTTTTGAAAAAAAAAAAAAATGATGTAAGGCCTCGTCAGACAAGTGAGGCGCGAGCTGCATTTGTCTCCGGGCGGCTTGATGGCTATGCATTTAAAACCCCATTCTCTCTTATAAACTAAAAATTAAACGTGCTCAGCTGTGAGGCCCTCATTGTGCCTGCTATTTATATGCTAATGCCCTCCCTAGAAGGCCGTGCAAATTGCCCCCCAGGCCAATATCTCACAAGCATCTTGGTCTGCCAGGGGCAGCCCTGCAGAGGGCAGAGGCCCTGGGGCTTGGGTACATGGACAGAGGCGAGGAGCCCACCCAGCAACCAGGAGAACCAAGGCCCTGTCTTGTCCAGGCTTTCAGGGCAAGGGGAAGTCAAGCCCAGTTCTCTACTGCGTCAGGTCAGGTGCACTGGTGGACAGCTGATATGTGTGAGGTGACATACAACCCGCCCAGTGCTTTGCCAGGCTTGCACACTCATGCACACACAGTGCCCTTCACATTCAGCTCCTCAGGCTGGCCGGGAGAAGCCTCTCAGCTCTTGCCCCAGTGGTGGGGCAGGCTTCTGGCCTCAGCCTGGGGCTTCCAAGCAGGAAGCGGGTGGCCCTCTGGCCAGGCTGTCAGGGAACCCTTGGAAGCATCAAGGCTCAGTCTCTGATCTGTCAGTGTCCTGGTGTGACCCTCAAGAGTAAAACATTGGAAATCACTGCTCTAACCTGCGCACAGAGCGTGGGATTGAAGATACGGAGGCTGGGGAGAGGCCAGGAGGGCCCAAGGACGCGGAGCTGCAGCCAGCAGGAGAGTGAGAGCCGCTATCTCGGAGCACAAGTAGCCCCTCCTCCAGCTCAGAGAGCCGTGCTGGCCTTCAGCGTGATGGAGGGTTGTTTACTGGCCCCGCGTACAAGGTCCCTCCGCAGCTGATTTAGTTTCCCGGCCTCCTTCGGGCACTTGACGGCCAACATTTCATCCAGGGGACCTGCTTCTGTCCTCTGCAGTGGGCTGAGCCCAGAGCCAGGCTGGCTTGTGGTGGCAGGAAAGGATCAGCCCTCACAGAAAGCCAACCCTGATGTGCCCCGAGGGACAGAGAACATTCACGGGGCCTGTGGCCATTTAAACATCTGAGCCAATCATCGTCAAAGCCATCGGAGTTCTGAGAGCTTAAACAGGCTGATGCTGAAGATGATTCTCTGACGTACTGGTAGAAATGAATATTTTCTTAATTACACAATACCAGGTTATTGGTGATCTTCACTACGTAATTAAATGGAAAGCAATTTAAAAGTTTTCAAAGGATTTTGATCCGTTTAAAGAATGTAGCAGCCACGGGTTATTACACCTCTCCTGTAACAGCTCGGCTGGAAACTAAATCTACCAAATGATGCTCCGTATCGATCGAGTGAAGATTTATCCCTGCCTGCTCCCACATGGAACCGAGACAGAGACACTCCATAAAACAAACAGTTAAACATATTCAAACTGGCTAGAATATTTTTTAAAGACAGAACATCTAGGTCACGAGGAAAGCAGTACATGAAGCTGGAGCGACAAACCAGAGGAGCAAGTCTCAGAGGCATGAACAGGGTGACAATCCCGAGAGGGTTCAGGCTGGCTGCTGCCTGCTCCCTATGCCAGGCCCCCTCACTGTCTGTCCTGCCCCCAAGGGTGAGAAGCTTCAGCAGTGCTAAGCAAGCACAGCGGCCACCGAGAACGAGATGGAAACCAGGGAAGCGAGTCCTTCCAATGGGGAGGCCCCATGACCTGGTCCCCATCCCCAGCCTCATCTATTCCGGGAAGCAGCACTCACCTGAGCTGGAGCCCCAATCACTTCATCTCAGTGCTATCGAGTGAGAGAGTGAGCGAGCGAGCGAGCGAGCGAGCAAGCGAGTGAGGAAGTGGGGCGCGCAGGGAGCAGTCTCCAAGGATTCCTGCAGCTTCGCAGGCTCTGCGGAGTCAGAGTTGGTGCGGAAAAGCACTGACAGGAGAGCTGCCTGCCCAGCTGCCCTCCCTGCTTGGAGGTGGCACCTTTCTCCCAGCCCCAGCTCCGCCCCTGCTCCTGTGGCCCAAGGCTGTGTCTGCCTCACCTGGCCTAGGCATCTCCACTCTGCCCGTCACGCGGCCGAACTCATCTGGTATAGACCACTGTGACACAGCACTGTGTGGGGTGACAGCTTCGGTCCAAACTCAGCCCCACAGCATGTCTGCCCCCAGACCTTGGTGACAGGTCTTCTCCCCAGAGGCAGCTCAGAGCAGGCAGGGAGAGATGCACTGGAGACGGCGGCCCTGGAAGAAGCTATGGGGCTGGAGGTCAAAAAACCACCTCGAGGGTTTTGTGCTAGCTCTGGACTAGAGTCCTGCAGGGCCACAGAACTGCTGATGCAAAGGGCCCTACAGGCACCCCCACACTGCCTCAGCTCCAGCCCTCCTTAGCCCAGCTGCTCTGAAACAGGCCCCGTCACACTTTCCTTGGAGGCACAGGACAGGTCTCTGCAAGAACAAGCTGGGTGGGCTGCAGGGCAGCAGGGGGCCTTCTTCATGGAAAAAGTGGAGCGCACAGCCATGCATTCCTAGCAGGCAGCAAGGGAAAACAGCCCAGAGCCCCTTCTTAGGGGCTGTCCCCACTCACTGGAAGCCGCCTCACTAGGGGGTTCATGGGAGAAAGGCAAGGCTGCCCTCTGCTGGTTCTGTGGGGACACACTGTCACAAGGAGGTTCAGTGGGGCAGGGACACCTGTCCGCAAAGCTCCTTCCTCTGTGGCCTCTACGAAAAAGGGGGGCTCTCAGGCGCCTCTGGGGCACCTCTGAGCACAGGCAGCAGCTTCCCTAACCCCGCCCAGAACAGCAAGTCCGCAATGAAACCAACCAAGAAAATCACAGCCCCTTTAGGGCTCTTGGCTGCAGGTACTGAAAAGAAACAGTCAGACAACAGCCAGATAGAGGGACAGCACCTCTGCACCTCCACAAGTGGGCTGTGGTCCCACATTCAGACATTTGGGCCTTGCTCAGGTCAGGACAATGTCGCAGCTTCTTGAGGTGGACTCTATGTCCACAGCCTCCACACAAGAAGAATGCACCCCACAGTCTAAAACATCGCTACTGGGCTGTCCCAGAGCCTGCATGAACTAGGTCCTGCTCCTCTCCACTGGAGCACCTGGGCTCACTGCTGCTCCAGACCCTGGTTTCCTCCCAACTAGAAGCTGTCCCCTAACCCTTCTCACTGACTGCCCTCCACACCCGGACCACTGTTCGTCTCATTTCCCAAGTCCACAGCTCTGGACCTCTGTCTGGGAAGTTGTTGGACAGCAGGAAGAAGCAGAACATTCTGAGCCCCTGGGCTCCTTTCTGCTTTCAGGACAGCCCCAGCGGCACTCACCTGGTGCTGGCGCAGCTCCTGGGGCTCAATGGCCAACTCCCTGCCCCTCCGCAGGGCCTTCTCCAACTCCACCTTCAGGCTGATGGCCTTCTGCAGAGATCCTCCCTGGACTCCTGCCCGGGTGAAGACCTGCAACAAATGTACATGCTGGAACGGGCCTTGTCACTCTGCTAGAGACACCCTCTGCACACGCTGCCCCACCTGGACCCAGGAGCACACGGCCGGCAGGAACTTGTTCTGGATGAGCTTTAGTGCATCCCGTGCTGAGTGGATGATGGCGGCATTGTCCTCGTCCTCCTGCACCCTCAGGCCATCTAGAAATAGTGCAGGTCACTGGAGGGGTAGCAGCCATGGGTGTCCCCTGACACGAAGGACCAAGTCACCCACATGTGCCTTTCCTGACCAGAGAGGCATCACCATGGAGCCGATGAGGCCCTGTACCCAGTTGGCATCTGGTGCTCAGGGCCCTAAGTTGCTGTGAGGTTAGTGTTGACTGAGGCTGGGTGGCCGATGTGTGAGGCCCCAGAGCTCATGTTCCACGGATTCCTTGCTCACAGACACCTCCAGCATTCTTTCCCTCCAGGACCGGGGGTGCTCGGATTCCCAGGGACCCCAGACCTGGAGACTCCCACCAGCCCCCAGTCACTGAGAGGGAGCGGAGGTAGGATGCAACAGCCTCACCTGTGGATAGATCCACCTGCAGCGTGTACTTGTGGGAGCCCAGTCCGTGGCACCGCACAAACTCATCCTGGTCACTCTCATCGTCCTCGGAGGAGGCTCCAGGGGCAGCTGCTGGGTGGTCTGCTTCTGAGAGGCTCCTGCTACAACATGGCTGCTCTTCCTCCTGGGGCTCTAACTTGTTCTCTGCCGTGTGGGAGGCTCCAGCGAGGTCAAAGGGCAGCAACAGCTCAAAGCAGCTGTCCAGCTCTGTGAGACAGCACTGGATCTCCGTGAACATCTCTATTGAGAGCAATGCCATGCCTGTGAGGCCCTGAGCCAGTGCAGGGGTCAGGGGCTCAACCTCCGTGTGGCCTGCAGCCTGCTGGGCACATGCCGGTGGTCCTGGGGCTCACCCTCCATGCGGCCTGCAGCCTGCTGGGCACGGTCCTGGTGGATCTGATCCAAGCGCCTCTGCCTCGCCTCGTCCCGCCGCCGTTCTGCTGGAGTCCGTGCATCCATATCCTGAAAGTTCACCTGAGAAACCGAACATGGGCTGGCTGCTATAGCCCAGCACAGGAAATACATCCTGTGGTCCAGGAGAGGCCCTGAGTCAGTCAAGCCCAGCACCCCATCTCAGTAAGAGGCCACAAGGCCAGGCTCCTCCTCCACAGCAGCGTTTTCCAAAGAGAGGGACACCTAGCCCCATGGGCCATGGTGGGCTCACCACGATTCCCAGAGAAAGGAGGCTGCAGTCCCCCAGGGGTCTACCATACCGAGAGTGGACCTGAGGTGACAGTGCAGAAGGGGGTGTCCACAGCCCATCTCCCACTGCCTGATGGCAGGTGCCAGGTGGGCAGGTGCAAAGGGTGCTACTGTGAAAGGCCATTCAAGGGCTCAGCTCCTGCCACACACAGGAAGGCCAGGCTCCTCAGTCCCCCCGCCCGTGCCTCTGCCCCTGTACCGTCAGGAAGCCCACCTGCTTGCTGTGCCTCAGGAAGTGGTAACCCAAGTCCAGCTTCTTGTAGGCTGCACCGTACTGGGCTGTCCAGTCCTTGACAGCCCGCAGAGCTGCCTGCCGAAGCTGCCGGGCCACCTCCTGGGGAGGCGGCAGAGGTTGTGAATGGTTGGTGCCCAGTGTGAGCTCCAGAAACTCCTGGAAATCAGACACCAGCAGTGTCCTGAAGTGGTGCGACCTGGCGAAGAGCTGCTCCATGACCTGGAAAGTGGAGAGGCGAACCTGGGCGTGCTCCTGGCTCAGCTGGGCCTTCAGCAAGTGGTAGGTGTGGCCCAGCTGCTCCACCGAGGACCTGTGACAAGGATCAGCCCACTGAATGCTGTGCCAGGAAGACAGGCACCAGCGGCAGGGTCATAGCCCTCCCCTGGTCCCTCCCAAGCAGGTAGATGAAAGAGCCAGCCCAGCCCTGCCTCAGGGCCAAAAACCAGGAAGAGCTTTTACAATTCCATTTCATTTTTCCCGTTTATTTAAACACTGTGGTTTACAAGTTGTTCATGATACATTTACTACATTCCAACCCCAATCCCACCACTATGTGATCTTCCCTCTATCGTTATCCCCATTTTCCCAACAACCCCTCAAGTCTGCCCCCCCACCATAACAGGCCCCAAAGCAATTTATTTTATATTGCTTGTTTTCATTAAATGGCTAAGTAGAATTATAAAAAAATACTTCAATAAAAGAAAATTTGTAAAAATTGTTCTATATTTCTATGGGGATATTAATTCCTTGGGCTGGAGCAATAGCACCGCGGGTAGGGCGTTTGCCTTGCACGCAGCCAACATGGCCAACCGGAGTTCAATTCCTCCTCTCCTCTCGGAGAGCCCGGCAAGCTACCGAGAGTATCTCGCCTGCACGGCAAAGCCTGGCAAGCTACCCGTGACGTATTTGATATGCCAAACACAGTAACAACAAAGTCTCGCAATGGAGACGTTACTGGGCCCACTCGAGCAAATCGATGAACAACGGGAGGACAGTGACAGTGATTAATTCCTTGTCTGAGAGTTTCCTAAGCTGTTGTTGTGAGCTGGGTGTTTTCTATGTTTTCATTCATCGAGCTTAGTTGACTTCTACATTACAGTCCATCTAATCTGGTGTACTCCTACTAGGATTGTAGAGTTTGGAGTGGCTACGCACTCTAGAAAATCCAGAATATTTAACTGGGCAGCAGTGATGGCTTGAGGAAGTAGGGGTGGGGATCACCTACCCCCACTCTGAGAAGACCCGGTTTTCCAGCTTTTGCAATTCTAAACGGTTGAAGCAAACCAAAGCAAAACTATAGGTTCAAGGTCCAACTTCAGAGCGCCTCATGTTTTCAGGGACAGCCACATTGACTTGTGTTTTCCAGAGAGCCTCCCCAGGAGGGAAACCATGCCTTCACACCTCCCGCAGACTTCTGCCAGACTAAGGAAAGGGGCAGTTCAGAGAGCTTCTGGAAGCTGCTTCCACATTAGACCTCCCTACTATCTCTTCCCAGCAGACCAATCCCTTAAACCACCAGTTTCAGAGCTTTCTGGAACGTACAGCAAAACCTGATTGGAGTCAAATGCTTTTCTCAAAATATAAACGTCCCGACACCCCCCCAAGCAGTCGCTGACTCTCCTGACTTCACACACACAGGTCAGAGCCCAGCAAGGCTCGCCTGTCCATGCAGAACTTGCAGTCCTTCCAGAAGGGAGGCGCTCTTGTAAGCAGCACCTGCCGTCACCGCTGGGTCTAGTCACACACAGGCCCACATCACATATGCTGCTAGAACACAGATTCATGACGTACACAGATACACTCTTGCTTTGAACTGACATCTTCGAGCACTCACATGTATGTGCCCCACATGACTCCGCACACACAGGTGCTCACACATATAAAGATCCGTCTGAAAGATACATATGAACACAGGTGGGGACCTGCTTCCCACAAGTGCGCACAGGGTCACACATGAGCACCTCACAGGCACACTCATGATTACACGTGGGCATCGGCACAGGCGCACGAATACCCGTGGCACCTCCATAAGCACACGCCCATGAACACCCACGGGCACAGGCACCCGTGGATGAGCACCCGCGGGCACGGCACCCACTCGCCACAGGCTCGCGGCTGCCCGCCACAGGGGGCGCAGGGAGGGCGCGGACCTACTTGCAGAGTTTCTTCAGCTCCTTCATTTTGCCCGCGTTCAGCTGGGGCTCCCCCGAGGTCGTGAGCTCCTCCACCAGCTCGGGCAGCCTCTGAGCCATGGCCGGGAGCGCCCGGGAAGCCGGCTAGGGGCGGCGCGGGGCGAGCGGGCCGCGCCCACACGCCTCCGCGGCCCCACGGGAGGGGGCGTGGCGGGGCGGGGCGTGGCGGGGCGGCTCCCAGGGGCGCCCTTGCGGTCCGCCAGGCGCAGCTCAGACCCCCGAGCCGGGAATCTCACAGCACGGCCTCAAGCGCGGAAGCACCGGCTTCCGCAGGAGGCCCCGCCCCATCACGTGCCGAACTGTCGCCCGTCATTGGCCGGCTTTGGAGGCCGGCACCGTCGCCACAACTTCTGTCCTTCCGGCAGAGGCGGGGCGGCCCCACTCGGAAGCCGTGAAGGGCGGCGGAGGCTGGGCTGTGCGGCTGCGCGGAAGAGGAGGCGTGGCGCTGGCGGCGCGCGGGGACCGCTGTCGGGGGCTTCGAGCGATAGTGGGCTGCGGGGGGTTCCTTGGAGCCGGGGAGCCGCCACCTGGAGGCAGCGCACCCCCGACCTGCCTCTGACACGCCGTGATCCCAGAAAACTCCCCATGGAGTGTAGGGCCCACCGCCCCCCAGTCTGCCCGCCTGGACGGCCCGAAGGACCCCGCGCCCGCCGCGCCAGGCCTCGGTACCCTTTCCTCAGGCGCCGCGTTTTTCCCTGAAGGGTGGCGAGAACGAACGATTTGGTTTCACTTTTCGGGGTGGGGGGTGGTGAGGGGCTGTTCCAGGCGAAGCTCCGGACCGGCCCCGGGTCGGCAGGATGCCAGGCCAGCACTTTAACCCCTGTCCGTAAGGTTTTAGAAAATGCCCCAGATAATAAGCTAATGACTTCTATTCTTGGTCAGAAGGAAATTATATTTGGAATTCCAGGAAAATGAGAAAGCTTACATAGGCTGTTCATAGTAGAAAGGCCTCAAATCAGTAAAGAATCTAGAAGCTAGAGTGAAACTAATAAGGCTAAAAGAACAAAACCCAAAATAAGCAGAAGAGGGGGTAAAAACCTGAATCTTGCAGAAAACAACACTCAAAGATGGTTCTCGATAGATAACTGATCAAGAAACAGTATCTGAACTGAGAGGGACTATCACTACAACCTTACAGACATCACAGAACAATTTCTTTATGGACAACTTGTTTAGCACACCACGACCAAGGAATTGATCTCCGGAATGTAAAGGTTAATTCAAAATCAATCAGTATAATTCTGCACATCGACAGCCAAAGGAGAAACATCACAGGGTAATTCCATTAAATGAAGAAAAGAATTTGGACCAAGTCCAGAATCTCTACTCAAGATCCCCAGAAGGAGTGTCCCTCTTAGTCTGCAGGAACAGCCCCTGCTCCTAAGACTGCAGGGACAAGATCAACACGTCTCTCCTCACTTCTCCTCTGGCTGGTACAGAAGGGTGGGAAAAGACACAGCCTGGAATAAGCCCCGAGCACAGCTGGGTGTGACCCAAAAACAAGCGAAAAAAACAGGGCCACACCCAGTGATGCTCGGAGGGAACAATGGTGTCAACCATCAATCTTAGGGCTCACATATGACAAGCATGTGCTTCAAGCCTTTAAGCCAAATCCCAGCCCATCTTCTGGAATTGAAATTGACTTTGCCCTGAATCCTCCTGGCTTTGTGCTCAGGGATTTATTCCTGGCTTTGTGCTCAGGGATCAAACCTGGTTGCCTCATGCAAGTAAGTGCCTTATATGCCATACTATTGCTCCCCCCACCCCCGGCCATATTTTTTAAGTGTCAGGGATGCAGAGAGTCCAAAGGGCTGAGAAATACTTTGAATCCAGGGTGTCTGGGTTTGGTCCCTGTCACCAGTTTCCCAAGCACTGCCGGGCACGGTTCACAAATTTCCCATCTTTTCTGGTTTCTTTACAAACTCATTTTAAAATGTATGTGGACATGCATGGGAACTGTCAGTCACTGTCCTCCCGTTTTTCATCAATTTGCTCGAGCAGGCCCAGTAACATCTCCATTGTGACCCTTGTTACTGCATTTGGCATATCGAATGTCACAGGTAGCTTGCCAGGCTTTGCCGTGCAGTTGAGATACTCTCATTGGTTTGCCAGGCTCTCGGAGAGGAGCAGAGGAATCGAACCTGGGTTGGCCAGGTCGGCCCCGTGTAAGGGAAATGCCCTACCCGCTGTACCTAACCTTCAGTCGAGGGTATACGAGTAGCTGCACTCCCCTGCTAGAGCTTCCAAACAAGCTTGGGAGCTAAAACAGTCAAAAACAGTTCTGAAAGTGGGGGATCAAGAGGGGATAATATTCCCTGGTTTTAGGAGCAGTGACAACATCAATTGCACAGGAGTGTCCTAATAGACCTAAGGAGTGTTCGGACAGACCATCAGACCTAAGGTCAGTCACACACAACAGTGTTAGGGGGACAGAGGGCCAGCAGCACTCCATGAGAATAGGCTTCTGAACAAGTGATGTTGGGGTTAGGGGTGTAGCTCAGTGGTAAAGAGCCTGACTTGTATATGTGAGGCCTCAGCCCAACCACAAACCACCAAAGGAAAAAGAAAAACAAGTGATGTCAAATAGCAGTGGGCTTCTCTGACCTAAAGGTTTCAAACCGACACCTGCTGAGCCCTAACCTTCTAGAGCACAGCACTGTGAGCCCAGGGCAGAACACAGGAGGCACCAGTCACGGAAGACAACTCCTTGACACGAAGTGCCTGCTGATATGTGACATGATTAGTGTCACAGTCCTCACTGGGATCAGACATCACTGGACACTCCTGCAGTCAGAGGACCAAGCACTGGTGGGCAGGGAGCATGGTAGGGCTATCAGCATCTGCAGAGTCCAGCTCACCCCCACCCCCAACCAATTTAGGGACCTGAGGGAGGTCACAGAGGGTACTCCACACATGATTCCCCATGAAATAGTACTGAATGGAATAGTACTGATAGTACTGACTGGAGCCCCCAGAGCCAAGCAGTGAGGACATGTAACTCTGCAATCCCACGTCCAGGCATTTCTCCAGAGAACTGAAGACAACTTGAGTCATCACACCAATGTTCCTAGTAGTTTTCTCAGAGATGCAAAACCACTCCTTGAACAGTGGAGCCCAGCCACATGCTTATGGTTCACGTGGAGTGGTGTGTGTGGAGACAAGGACTAAGGATGCATGTCCGGCAGCTCACAGGCATTTGTCAAATGAGGCAGACAGTAAAGATGCAAGTGATCTGACCCAACAGCAAGACAGGCCTTAGAAGAGGGCCACAGTAGCTGCAGATGGTGAAAGTAGATAGTGCCCTCTGGGTTGAGAGCATACTGCCCCCTGCTGGGTACACAGGGCACCACATCCTCACCAAAACCAGTGCTGTAGGAAGCCTGGCTTTTCCTACCACCACCAGGAAGTAAACGCAGCCCATGAATGTCCAAGCTGTGCACATCACCACAGGAGCACGATCTGTTGTGCGACAGGCCCCTTTTTACCCTGAGCTGCCCAGTAACACGAGGCTGTAAGAGGCAAATAGCCCCATGAAGGAGCCACACTGGGTAATTCCTGTCCTGAACACAACCCGTAAGTAAGGGCTGAAGCTCCCAGAGTTTGAAGGGCCTACTCTGTGCCTACTCCAGCTGCTGTATGCAGAAAAGAAAGGGGGGGATGCCAGGATCCTTGCTCACAACCACCTTGCCAGCACACTGACCCAGTCAGCTCAGCCAGGCTCCAGGTGCAGCCCCACCCACAGCCTCTAACCTGTGCTGCAGGGTGGAGCACCGGACAGCTACAGATGTCCATAGCCATGAGGCCGCAGGAGTGGCCTGAGAGCCAATAAAACAAAGTAGGTCTGTGCAATGGCAGGTGCTGCACTAAGCAGATTTGTATCCACAGGCTACAGCCTCCACAGCCATGCACTTTGGAGGTTTTGCTCAGGGAGCCCAGCAGAAAAGGGGCTCCAACAGGCTGACCCCCCCCCCATACTCCTGAGCCAAGTATGCATGATCTCTGCCACCATCTTGTCTATGTGGTAAGCACAGGGCATAGCTCCAGCTCCCCTCCCCTGGCATCAGCTTGGCTGGCGACAGACTCTGTCCTAAATAGCCAAGAGTCCAGAGCTCCCCCAAGCCTCCCAATACCAGCAGTTTGGCAGGACAGCTGTGGCAGAAGTAGCCTGAATTAGTCACACCAGGGTTCAGGGGCTGGACAAGAGCCAGCTACAAATGAGGCACAGAGTGCTTGCTCCACACAGAAATGAGAAATAGAAAACCCTTTTATTAACAGGTTTTACATTTACAGTTTATTAGCTAATCGACACCAACATGCAAAAATAGGTGCTAAATACTTCTACATTGTGGCTGTGTGTGGGACGCTTGTCTGATTGGAGTCAGCAGTGAGATTTCGACAGAAGGTTCATTTCTGGCATGAGCAGTGTTTAGGTCTGAGTCGTGGACCCACACAGCAAAGCCACCAGAAGCTGGTCTGGTAGGTCTCTGCAGGAATCCGTTCTTCAGCAGGAAATAAGGCGCACGGATGACGGGAGCCAGCAGCCACCAAGGGTGGCTCCCCAGGTTCGTCATTAGCAAAAGGGAGCAACTGTGGGGACACAGCAGGTCGATTCCCATCTGTGAAATGTGCTACTTTCCCTCCAGGTTCAGTTTTTAAAGGAAAGTTTCTTTGAAAGGTGAAAGTTCATTTCAGAAGCATCAAATAGCCGACTTATGTTACAAAATCCTACCAACCAAACGTTTTCCAGTACAAACTTGCTAGAGTTGATTTCCTCTCTTCCCAGAGCATTCTTCGTTGCTCACTGGTCTTTGGTCGCAAGAAGCAGGAAGGCGAGGCAGGCGCGGGCTGGTGCCTCGTGCCCACGGCCGCCTGGCAAGCGCCAAGCCTAAGCCTACATGATGTATACTTTCTCCGCCTGTGAGAAGTGGAACACTTCTTTGGTTCGCGGGCAAACAACCTTATCATCTTGACGGATTGAGAGCAGAGACTGAAAAGAATGACAAAAAAAAAACATTAAGACAAGCAAACCAGTGCTGGCCACCAAGGAAACTGCAGGGCCCCTGTACGGGG